TCCCTGGCAGACAGACCGTATGAAGAGCCACCAGCAAAGCCACCGCGGTTCTCGCAGCTGAGAGTGAGTCACTGTTTGTGTTCCCTGCCTGGCTGGTGTGTCTGTGCGGAGCGTGCGCGGCAGTGGCCAGGGTACTTTCTTCAGCCCTGGCTGTCCTTCACTTTCCTTCCTTCCTTTCAAAGAGCTAAACCTAGGTCTGTCAGGAATAATTGCCCCCTTTCTGATTAGCAGTTATCACCTCTGAGGGACTCGGAGATCTGTAGAGGATGTTTACTGAGAGCTCAGGTCCTGGATGGGTATCCAGGCTCAGAGAGGGAAGCACGTTCAGCCTTACTCTGCTGCTTTCATGCTCAGGAAATTCTGCCTAGCAAAATCAATAAAAAAGAGGAAAAAAAACCTACAATGTCAATATTTAAGTTAAAATTCCTTTGAAGGTAAGTATTGAGAGTAATAAGCATAGAGAGTGATCTTTGAAAATTGCATTGCTTTTTAAAAAAAGGGAAGGGTAAAACCTAAATGGCTTGTTTCTTATTAAAACAAATCGATTTGACCTGGAAGCTTGGGTTAGTCCTGGTTCTCAGATACTTGGTGGTTTGGGAAGAAAGTTCATGAAGCATTGAGGCAACTGCACATCTGGCTGTGCGGAGGAGGGAAGTGTTTTGTGTTAAACAGTTCCCATGGATGCACCTTGGCTGCTGCTGGAGATGATGCAGAGCCCAATGCTCCCACTCCCAGCATGGTCAAGCAGAACTTGGGAAATGTAACAGCCAGGCTGGCTCTGACTTGACCAGAGCACCTAGAGCACTTGGGCAGAGTGAAAACAAATTACAAATTTGACGACGTGCTGTACAAATTCTGCTATGGCTGGGCCCCACAACAGCAAACGTCACCATTTATTTGGACAGACACACTCTAGCTGAAGTGGTGGATGAGTTTCCCAGCTCTTAGCTTTCTTTGTGGGTCAAACTCCATCTTCCCTGTGCAAAACAAAGCTGAAGTGTGCAAACACATCAGTGCTGGGAGAAATCTTAAGGTGGCCAGCTGTATCTGTTCAGCTTTTCACCTTATCAACTCCAGTGACCCAAGCAGCAAATACTTGCACAGGCATGACCCTGCTATTGAAATGAGTGGGGAAAGATAGCGTTCAGCCCTTGCAGGTCAAATTCTGGATGCCTGCCCCATGGGAAATGTCAGGCAGCTCCTTCGGATCAGGTGCCTCCATGCAAGGTGGGTGCCTGCACTGAATGGGTAGCAGGGTGCTACTCCCACCTCTGTGCCCTGCACCGAAGGGGAATACCGAGCTGACTTTCTTCCCCTTGTTTCCTGGCCAGATGCCAGGCAGCCATCCCGCAGGCAGGAGTGTGACATGGCTCAGCTGGTGAGATGGGACGCAGCTGGGAGCTAGTGTTTTGATTGCACTGGCTGGGAGTCCGAGATCTGTCTCCCTGGGCCGGCTGGGCTTCTCTAGAGCTCTTGCTCTCGCTGCCAAATAGCACTCGACATGATTTGTGGATGTTGATTTTTTGCTGCGGGAGTGGCAGCCTTTGGATGTCAGGCCCTTTGTTATCGGGGTTGGCTGGAAGGGGAGCCATCGCGTTTGCCATTCTTCCTGAAAACCGACATTTGAGAGCTGAGTTTGGCAAAACCCGTTGAGCTTGCGGCTAACCTGTGAGCTCGGGAGCAGGGCGGCGTGCCATGGAGGGCGAGCGTGTCGTTCTGCTTCCTCCCAGTGTTTGCATATCAACTTCCTGGAGCAGGAATTGGGAGTGATTGGAGTTTCCCCATCCCAGACATCTGGTCCTTGCCCTGCTGCAGAGCTCTTCCCTCTTGCCTTGGATTCCCAAGGCTTTTCAACCAAAACAGTCTTAGCTGAAGCAAGTTGGGCTGCTGTGCCCTGCTTGCTCACACCAGATTTTTAAGGAACCGGGCTTCAGGTGTAAAAAAAGAGCGGATTCACACTGGTACTGCATCGGGAGTGTGTGCTCGGTTGCCGGGAGGGTGTCACGTACAAACCCCGCACCTTCGCCCCGCTGCTCAACCGCCCCCTTTTCAGACAACAAAAGCCCGGACGGGCAGCAGCCAGCTGAGGATCTGCAATTCTCTGAAACATCCTCTTGAGACCAAAGAGACTGAAGGCAGGGCTGTTGAGGGGGGAGAGGAGTCCTTTGGTGCAGCATCAACTGATTGATATGCTGGACGGGGAGGCTGTGTAGGAGAATGGGCCATTTGCGGCATTTCCTGGTGCTACAGCTGGTGCGATCCAGCGCCTGGCTCCGGCGTGGGGAGCGGAAGGACGTCAATGGCAAATTAAGCAAGTCCGTTGAATAGGACTAATGCGTGTTGCAGCTGTGAGCTTCCCGCATTGTCTGCCGGGCCGGTTGGCACGTACAGGCATCTTGCCTGCAGTAGGAGCCAGGCTGTCAGGCATCTGGGCTGACCTCTCACTGGGCTCCCAGGGCTTCTCTCCCACGGTGGCTGATCATCAGCGGCTTTGAGTGCTTTGCTTAGTGCTTTAGCGGAGCCTGTTCCTCTATAAACACCCTGCCCGTAGCTCAGCATGTCTCCTGCCCTTCTGGGATGAGCTCACAGGAGGCAGAGGCGTGCTCAGCAGAAAGGACATACCTACCTGAAACCTGGAGCAAATCAGGGGTATCATGCAGAAAATAAATGGTATGATTGATGACACTGAGGCAGGAGCCTGCAGAGCAGGAGCTGCCCTCGTTCACTCTGTTCATTGCACCCTTTGTGTCAGGCACTGTAAAGGTGAGCGAGGGGTGGGCACGGCGGTGGCACAGGCTGACCAGGATGGTCACTGGTGTCTGCCTCTTTCAGTGCCAGGACTTGATGTCCCAGACATCATCACCCCTGAGCCAGAATGACTCCTGCACGGGCAGATCTGCCGATCTCCTGCTGCCCTCCGGGGATACCGGGAAGAGGCAACACGACCGTGGCACCGAGGTTGCTCCCTACTCCAGAGCTGAGCGCTACAAAGCACAGGTCAGTGGGTGCTTTTGTGTGTCCTGGGGGCCCCTCTGCTCAGTTCAGTGCAGACTCCCCCTTCTCTGGAGCCAGCGAGGAGTTAGGGTGATGCATGGAAAGCCACAGAGCCACTCAGGCACAGCTTCCCTCAGCATTAGAGCCAGCAGCTCGTTTTTGCCTCAATCTCACCTTGAAAATGGGTGACTCAGACTTCCATCAGCACTGGCACCTTCACCCGCAGCCTGCTGCCTCCTCCCAGCCCCATGGGATTTGGCCATTGCGAACCTCAATTGCATCAACCCAAAGAGCCCTCCTGGGATCTGTGTTTCAACCCAGGTTGGACCTGTTGTGGCTTCACATCTGTATTTTTTCCCTTCCAGGAGGACCGTCGGGAGTCAAAACTGACCCTGCGCCCCCCCAGCCTGGCTGCCCCATACGCCCCAGTCCAAAACTGGCAGCACCAGCCAGAGAAGCTCATCTTCGAGTCCTGCGGGTACGAGGCCAACGTAAGTGGCTTTTGGCTTGTGGGGGTGGTGAGGATGAGGAGGCTCTGGGGTCAGGTTCTTGCGTGTGGAGTTGATGTGCTTCCTCCCCCTCCCTGGGTGACCTGTCCCTCCCGAGCCACGACTGCTGGCTGCTCATGGAGCCGTGGCATTGCCTTGGGGTTGGCAGGGTTTCTTGCCTGAAGCCTTTAGGATGTCTGGGAGCACGTTAACATCTCCCCCTCTTCCAAACAGTACTTGGGCTCCATGTTGATCAAAGACCTCCGAGGGACGGAGTCTACGCAGGACGCCTGTGCCAAGATGAGGGTACGGAGGCCACGGGGACAGGGGGGATTCACTCACACCCAGTGGTAGATGATGTGGAGAGGGGAATGGGGGGATCTCAGTGGTTCCCCAAACCCTGGAAGCTGCCCTGTGCAGAGCAGGGACCCAGACCACCTAACAGGCTGTGCCGCTGTCACTGATGAACTGCCCCTCCCCAGCACTTTTCCCCGTAGTGGGAAGGTCTGTGCAGAGGGAGAACGAGTGTTTTCACTGGGGAAGGAGGTGCTGGGTTTGCTTCAGGTCCCCGTCCCTTCCCCTCTGCTTCCACCAGGAGCAGGCTTTCCTTCTCCTGGTCCAAGACCCCCAAAGCCTGCCTTTGTGGGGCAGTGGCCTGGGGGTCTCTGGGGTGGGCTGGGGTGATGGTGAAGAAGGGAGCATTTGTTCACAACTGGTCACTTGAATGTTGTTGTTTCTGAAGAAATCCACAGAGCATATGAAGAAGATCCCAACCATAATTCTGTCCATCACATACAAAGGGGTGAAGTTCATCGATGCCTCTAACAAGGTGAGCTTCAGATGCCTCGAAGTTGGTGTCTGGAGGGACAAGACCTGCAGTCCCACCTGCCTGGGGGCTTGTAGGTCACACCTCGTGGCTCCAGAAGCCACAGCTGATCCTGAGGAGCCCAGCTTCTCAGGACTACAGGAGAGCACCAAGGTGGTGATGGTTATCTGACTGCCAAAGGCTTAGCAAAGTGGCTGCTTGTGGGCCATGTTGCTATTTATTCCTACCATGGGAGGGAGCTAGGACTGGTCTGGCTGGGGGACCCCCCTCCCTGCCAGTACCTGTTTTACTCCCTGCCCCCAGTACACGCTTGCCACGACCACCGTTTGCCGGGTGTATTTGCCGTCCCCAGAAGGGTGACAGGTGCTTGTGGTTGACCCCGGCAGAATGTCATTGCTGAGCACGAGATCCGGAACATCTCCTGCGCTGCTCAGGACCCCGAGGATCTCTGCACGTTTGCCTACATCACCAAGGACCTGCAGACCAGCCACCACTACTGCCATGTCTTCAGCACCGTGGATGTGGTGAGTGGGTTATCGCATCTCATCTCACAGCGCGCTGCAGTCCTTTGCAGTCCACTTGTTTCATCACTCAGTTTTATTGGCGAGTCAGATCAGGATCTGGTCTGTTCTAGGGCTCTTTTACTTGTTTCTACCCTAAAATATTCCTTTCTGAGTCCTGGCTCAAAATGCTTTTACTTTGGAGCGCTGTTGACAGAGAATATTTGTCTGGCTTCGTTACTGTATTCTCCAGTGCTGAATAAAGCAGGGCAGGAGTTTTTCCCTCCTGGGGAATATGCTGTGAACAAAACCCTAATACGCTCTCAATTATGTTGAGCATAATAGGCTGATTTAACAGCCTTTTAATTCACTGAGAATGTGGAAGCATAACTTTCTTTTATTCTTGGGCAGAATCGGCTGTACAAGATGTTTAGGCTTTTTCTCTTTACAATGCAAAACGCTGCTAAACTGTGATGCTTGAGGGGCTGTAGCAGGTTCCCAGGTCGTCCCACTGGCCGGGGCTGTGTGAGCATGGAGGCAGCTTGGGGCAGGAACTCAGCGCTGCCCCATGCGTGCAGAGCGGCTTTGCCAGGGATATGGCAGGATGCGACCTGCTAATGGAAAGGTGATGGGCTCTGCTGAGGTCTGCATCTCCAGAGCAAGCTGCTGAGCCCATGGACTCTGCACAGGGCGAGGTAGCTCGTATGCACCTAACGGCTTTGTGTTTTCTGTGGTCTCTCCAAAGAACCTGACGTACGAGATCATCCTCACGTTGGGGCAGGCATTCGAGGTCGCCTACCAGCTGGCCCTCCAAGCCCAGAGAGCGAAGCCTCTGGGTGCTGCAGCAGGAGAAATGATCGAAACAAAATCTTCCAAACCGGTGCCTAAACCGCGAGCCGGCATGAGGAAATCTGCAGTACGTATGTGCGGGCCGGCAGGCTGCCGGGTGCGATCTGCATGGTCTGAGCTGGGATTTCTCTTGGGTACCGCACACTTAAACCTCCCCTTTGTGGTGTGGGGAGCCCAAATGCAGACACGGTGCCTGTAGCTTCAGGCACTGCTGATATTGCGGTGTCCGTGGCTCTGCTGGCAGTCCTGCTGCGGTGTTAGGGCTTCCCCTGGTAGGATTAGGGCAAGCAGAGGTGAAAATAGCCCAGGTGGGATGGGGGTTAAGTGCCCTGCTGGGTCCAGCACAGCTGCCATGTGCAAACCCTGCAGAGCCACAGTAGGATCAGTAGGTAACCTGTGGTTTGCAGCATGGGAGTGCCCCTGTAGCCAAAACCAGCCAAGACTGGAGCTGCTGAGGAGCAGGGACTGCTACATAAGTCATTGCCTTCCTTTAATGTCTCCTTTTGTCTGTGTTCTGCTTGCTCCCCCCGCTCAGGTGCCGCTCCCTCCTGACACTCGCTGTTGTCACTGTCACACCTGTACAACACACCGCCCCTCCTACCTGCCGCTGCAGTCTGTTAGTCCCGGAGCTAAGGTCTTTACCCTTCTTCCTGCCATCTTCCATTACGAACCGACCCAGGCTGCCCCAGCTGCCACCGGCCCGCCTGCCTCCCCGCTTCCTGCGTCTCCTGCTGTGGTCCCGTGTCCTGCCTCACTGCTGTCTTCCCTCCCCACTCGTTCCAGGGCTGTGCCATGGGCTCAGATGAACCCCAGGGACAAACCGCTGATGTCCGTCCCCGCTGATGTAGAGTGGCAGCTCCCAACTAACTGCGTTGCTCTTTCTGGTGTTGTTAACCTTCCTGTAGGATCCTGATTTAGGAGGACAAGATGAAAGAGCCTTGCTTGGTCAGGAGAGTAAATCACATGGGAGCTTACCTGCCAGGAGCTGTCTCCCTCTCTCCCTTTGCCTCTTTTTTTTTTTTGTAGTGCCATCTTTATAGCGCTGAATTTTTCATGCTTGTTTGTGAGATGAAGTGAAGCTGTCACTAATGGTAATAGGGGCTTGCAGGCCTAACTCACAAAGTCATCTCAGGGTGCTGGGTTGTGACTGATGTGGCTAGATGTGTTTTAGCTATGAAGGACTCGAATGCCTCCCCAGTGAGAGCTGCTTCCCCGCACACATGCATGTTTTTGGGATGGGCATTAGGCAGAGCAGCAGCCTCTCCGTGCGTTGAATCCCCAGTTGTTCTGTCCCAGAAGCACGGATGACCTAACATGCCCTTTCTTTCCTTATTTTCTAGCTGGACCCCCCTGAAGTGGACCAAGACTCCCAGTCTCATGCCAGTGTCTCCTGGGTCGTGGACCCCAAACAGGACTCCAAGCGGACCCTCAGCACTAAGTATGAGACCACTATCTTCTAAAGCAAACACACCCCGTGTCCACCTAGTCTAACCGTGCCTTTGCGATCTGATCTGTCTGCTGTTCTAAACTCCCTCTTCCTCCAGCTGCTCGCACTGAGCCCCGCGTAGGCACTACGTCAAAGGCAGCAGCACTTAGGAGACTGTAGACTTAAACGGCTTTTGTACCTGATCACTACTGAACACTGTGAATTCTCCTTACTCGGAAACAAGGGTAACACGCTGTTAGATATCTGTGAGGTGGGAGGTGCAGAGGGATGCAGGCTGGGGGAATCGGAGATGTGGATCCAGGAAGCCGCCTGCCATTTTCACGTCTTGCCCCTTGCTCTGGCACTGTGAATCCCTGGGGCAACGTGACACTCCCCGGGCCTTTTTTTCTATTTCACCTTCTTATCCTTGGACTGATGGAGACCTCTTGTCTCTGCGGTGCACGCACTCCCTCCTCCTAGATCCTCTTCTTCCCGACTGAGCCACGGCTGCATACTGTTCCAGTGAACTCACCCCTCTTCTTACCTGCCATTCAAATTGACACTAACCACTGTGATGCTGTCTGCAAATAACACACGTTCACTAGATTTCCTCACGGGGACCCTTGCCCGCAATCTCTCCTCTCGAAGCCTGGAGCGGAAAACCTGCTCCGACGGGAGCGTGGGTTTGGGCTGGGTGCGATCGTTCCCACTGAGCTTTGTCCCCTCTCAGAGATAGGTGTGGTTTTGGTTGAATGCATTTCAGTCCCTCGTAGGACTTTTTTTCCCCACCATAGTCCTGTTTACACTCACCAAACTTCTCGTGAGCTATGCACATAGCTCTCACTTGGCAGATTGTAAAGAGGTTAAGCTTTTAAAGGCACATGTTGTTAGCCCCGTGTTGGGAAGGAAAGGTGTTTGAGAGGGGCTGGATACTGTTAGAGATCTGATAAAGCAGCCAGAGCTCTGCTGCGTTCAGCGGACTTGCTGCAGTTGTGCTTTTTTGCCAAAGGGAGAAATGTGATTGAAATCAGTCTGCTGCTGATCCCAAAGCTTGTTTTCAGTCTACAAACCATTGCACGATAAGGGCTATAGGGATCTTGAAACATCTGTCACCTTCTATCCATGAGAGCAAGGATTTCACTGCATCAGTGGGGACCTCTGCCTTTTCTGGCTGTTTCTCAAGAGTGCATGTTTTTCCTCTGGGAAAACATCCCCATTTCTCTGTATCTTGGTAGAAGCAGCTTTTAATTCCAGAGTATGACTGGGAATCGTTTGCATGAGACCACAGGGCACTTGGCACAGGTCAGAGCAGAGCTGGGACAGGGCTGGGAATGCCACACAACCCTGTGAAAGTCCCAGCGCACCGTCCACGGTCCTACTCCTGGTTGCTTCATTTGCGTTTGCAAAGCTCATTGAGATGAAACTGAAGAGAAGGAGGAGGAGTATGATCTGATGAGTAACAGCGCTGGGAGGCAGGACTCCTGCCTCAGTGCTGCTTCTCCGTAACTTGCTGTGCGTCCAAGCAACTTCGCCTCTCTTTACCTGAGTGTAAAGAGAGGGGAAGAGAACCGTGTATGGGCTGGGGACGTACTTACCTACCTCTCGGGGGTGTGAGGCTCGCTCCATTTGCAGAGCAGTTTTAAGACCCTGTAGTGAAAGGCGCTGCGACTTCCACACTGTGGCAGCAAACCCCGACGCTCTCCTGACAGATGAAGTACTTCACTCGCACAGACGTAGCAAAGCTGCGTCTTGGACCCCAACCAGCTCCTCGCAGGCAGCGGCTGTCGCAGCTTTCCCGGGGAGAGGGCTGAGCAGATGGGGCAGCGGGAGAAGGGCTGCAGCCACGCAGTAGCTGGGCTGCACAGAGCTCGCTGATGTGCACCTTGATGGGAGTGTCTGAACTCACCGTGGGTTCTGCATCTTGGCAAAATCCCCTCGCAGCCCAGTTTTGGAGAGCCGGTGGTGACAGTGGGTCTGTGTTAGAGAGCTGTGAAGAGAGGTGGACGCAGCTACCTGCTCACCTCTGCATGAGATGTCTGGGTGGACATCTTGGACATAAATGGGGAAGAGGAGGCACTCAGATCTCTATTAAAGCTCCATTTCCAAAATAGCTTTTAGAATTTACCCCAAATCTCCCTTCGCGATCACCAGTTGGCACCAGCGGGGAGCGGTCAGAAGAGCAGCCCTGGGCTATTTGTACAGCTGGTATTTAGGGGCTAGAACAAGCTCATCCAAGTTTTGCCAGGGCTTTAGAGCTGTCACCTGACAGCTTCTGTTTCCCCAGACTTGGGGTGAAATCTGATGTTTCAAAATCTTTATTTAGCTCTTTCTCAGGAATGGGTTTGATCTCCCAAGTCCATTGTGGCTTAATGGCACCGAGCGGCAAACTGACTTCAAAATAAGGGCCAGCCTAGTAAGAACCCGAGGGAGAGGACTAAAGGGATTGTCTTACAGCAACAACAACAAAAAAAGGAAAGCTCAGTCTAGTACATATATTTCATATGTCATGGAGCCCCTTAACATAGAGCCAGTGCTCCTCTGCCTAAAGACCCCCGAAGCAGAGGTCGCACTGCAGCTGCCCGAAGTGCTGCAGCGCCGTCCTGCCAGCCGGAGCGTCATGGACAGCAGAATATTGCTGTGTCCAAGGTGCTCCGACAGGTGGGTTTGGGTTTGATCAGCAGCTTTCCAAGCTGTGAGAGTGCCCTGAGGGTTTCTATATCCTTCAAAGAGAAACCGAATTAATGGTAGCGGTGGTAGCGCAGTTTCTATGTGTAAGCATTTACCATGCAGTTGCCCACCCGTACACCTGATTTTAGAGGGTCTGAGCTCTTGCATCTCCCCTGCCTTCAGCTGGGAAGGGCAGGTTCTCAGCACCTCCTAAAACCGGGTCACTAGAGCATGTGCCTTTCTAAGGGTGACCGTCCAAACCCAGCTGGGATCACAGGCAGCCCTGCCTAAACTACAAAGCTTCTGCTGTATGTCCATAACCCTCACTGTTGTGTCTCATCTCCTGGCCATACGCCTCATCTTTCCCAGCACTTGTTTTTTTATGACTCGGAAATCATTCATTCCATTATCTTCCTTTCTGTTTGCCTCTGAAAAGCTGATCTCCAGGCAGCTGTCTCCTACCACGGAAAAGTAGTAACGGGGCAGAGACCTAAGAAGCAGTGGCCTGCTGACACGAAGATCATCTCCATCTGGCACTGGTGTCTGCCTCGGAGTGGGTGCATGGCTGCTCAGTGAGGGCTCCCAAAGCAGAGGGGGGAAAGGGATCCCAGCCACCAGCTGAGAAAAGCAGCTCTCTCCATTTCTAGCGAAGGAAAGTTGAGACTTCCGAGGCCAAGAGCGATGTCACCTTTTCTAGTTTGAGACAAATGTCTTTCGACCCGTTTCTTTTTTAACGTCTGAAATGATATAGAGCAAATCCAGTTCACAGTTTAAATGTAGCACTGCAGTTTTTTGGTGAGGAAAAAAAACCCAGATATCTCCTTATTTACTGAGAACCCACGCAGTCCGGCAAGGAGTACAATAGAAAGTCTTAGCAGTGAGAGTGGTGTGCGCATCTCATAATGGTACTTAAATTTGCTTCAGTTCTGGGTGAACAGTAGAGAACGCCAAATTCTTGGAAATAACTTCCTCCAGTGTGAGAAGCCTTGCAGGGTAAGTCTGCATCTGTTGTTTTCAAAGCTACTCCATGCTTTTATAGCAAATGGAAATAACTTAAGGAAAAGAGTCTGCAAAGGATCTTTCACCCCACAGTGGTTGTGGCCAAGTATTACCGATGGTACAAAGCTTGCTTCCCCTACAGAGAACCGTTGCGTTGCAGTACTTGACATTTCTATGGCAAGGACACAATTTCTTCCCATTTACGCACTGAATACCTGGAGACGACTCCCTTCTCCAGCCTCCTGTGCACCTGTCTTGTTTTTAAATGCAGTTATGCCCTGAAGGGTTGGGTTTTTTTAAGTATATTCAATTGTGATTTAGCACTTTTTTTGATACTAGCTCATTATTTAATTAGTGCAACAGTTTCAGAAGATGAACAAATAAGGAGTTAAATTTTGGGCATTACACTGAAACAGTCCCTACCTGAGGATAAATCGGATCAACCTAAGGATGGCTTGGCCCCCGTCTAAGTCCGGTATCCCCAGATACCAGCGTCTCGAAGGTGCTGTGTGCTGGCTTTTCTTTTGAATTACCAGAGTATTTAACAGTAATTTTGGCTGTGACTGATGTGTTTTCACAGTACTGTTCCCCTCAAGGGAGAGATGTTAAAATGGTTGTGATTTTAATTCTTGAGACGCAGAAATGTAGCGCAGCATGTTTGTTATCATCTCGACAGGCATTGTAACAGTTGGGATGTGGTACCCTGCTGCTTTACTAGAATGATATGCCCAAATAATTTCTGTTTAACTCCAGTTGCTGCTGTATGTCAGGATTTCATTTAGTCTCTCTAGCCAGTAAGGCTGGGAGAGAAGTGAACCGTAATCCCAAGGGCATAGATCTGTAAATGATTAGAAGGGGGAAGTGGAGATTTTTTAAGTTGATGAATTTAGGAAACCTAACATTCCTTGTTATGCATATGTTGCAATTCATACTGGTGTAAGTGTAAATATTTGGTGTGTTGGCAACAAGTCTTTTTGGAGAGATTGCAAATTGAACCTCTGCTTGGGAGGAGGGACGCCTTTCTTTTTTTGATGCGTGAGCTTTTTGAAGGTTGGCTTGGAGGTGAAGTGGTGATGAAGACTCCAATCTTCAGGGGACTGGGCTTGGGACCCTGGTGGTCCTTTCCAGTCCTGTGTGTAATCCTATGGTTGTCTTTAGTGATCCAACAGTTCTTTAGCCAGATACTCTCCTTCTCACTTCATAGACAAAGCAATTGTTTTGGCAGTGCATCTCCTCTTTTATTTCGATGGGTTTTCTCAAGGTACTCGCGTGCTGGAGGCCGATCCTGGACCATGCCGATCACTGACTCCTGGTAATCTGTTAACCCATCCGTTGCACAGTGTTCTGGCTCTTCCTCCCTACGGGGTGTCGTGCTATCTGGAGGAAAGTGCCCTAAGTTTCTGGTGCTGAATATGACTTTGAATCAAAATGCATCTGCTGTATTACCTGCCTGGGAAAAGGTGGTGCTGCCTTGGGCCTCGTTCCCCTTTTTAAGGACAGATTGTATTTTACAGACTTTGGTTTGTGCGTGGCATGAGTCCAGGCTGAGAACTCAAGATAGGTAAACCAAGATGCAGAGTTGTCTTTTTTTATATAGGAGGGGATGATTTTTATTTTTTAAAATTGAAGCTGCTTTATCCTTTTTAATTTTGTATTTACAAAAAAAACAAAGCTAATCTTAGCTGTTCAGCTGTCTTTGAACTTGCTTTGGGATTGTTCTTTTTAGAAGAAATTATGCAACTTTTGCGGGGTACGTGCCTGTTGCCCTCCCAGGGAGCAGATACGGCACCTTCCAGGATGTACCTCTAGTGAAAAGCTGGTACCTTCACGAGGCTGCTGGGCACAGACCAGATGCCAAATGGTCCCTCCGAACACGTCCAGTTCTGTGTGCAGCTGAAGTGGAGTCAGTGGCTTTAATGCTCCTTCTGCCCCACTTCAGAAGGTTCTAGCAGCAGAATTTCCCCTGGCTTTCTTCGGCTCGCATCATTTCCATGCAATCAGATCTTTATTTTAGAGCAAGCACAGTGTTTGCAACGCTGTCTTGTTGCAAAAGGTCTCCCTTTTAGGTCTTTCATTGGCATTACTCACTGCTTTTTTTTTTTTTTTTTTTTAATCCAAAAGGAAGTAACTGTGCTGCTCTTGCAAAGTCGATCTAGCTCAAACATTTTTCTTACCCATGGAAGAATAACCTGAGATTCCCTAACAGGGCAGAGAACAGTCGAGTTCAGTTTGCAACGTAGACGTTTTTGCTAATTGTGATGTATGGCAGTGGGACTGATTTGTAATACAAATGTTATTTAATCTGTCTGTATTTTGATACTTGAATTTCCTTTTATTTCCTGTATATACAATTGTTAATCTGTTCAAATTTGTCTGAATTTTAAACATCTTGTGGTACCAAACATAACCAATCTGTGCAACAACATAGACTGACCTCACTACAACAAGGCGAGACTGTAAATATTCCTGGGCTTCCAGCAGTCGTTTTGTTGTTTTCATAATTGTACAACTTAGAACAGACTGAATTAATAAACAAACTTAGACACACATTGCCCCGTTGTCACCGTGACCTCAGTGTTATAGCGGTTAAAGCAACGCTGTTCTCGTCCTCATCTAACAGACCTGAGCAGCGAAGGGAAAAGGGGGTGAGAGCAGGCAGCGGTGCCGTGTTTAATTAGCTCCATCTCGTGCTGTACCCGCACTTCCCGGCTTAGTAAATCCGAGGAACAAGAACACGTCGGAGCGTTGTGCAGAGATGATGTGCCACGGTTGTGGAAGCAGAGCGCGGAATGCCAGTAAGCCGGGCACAGGCCCGTGCTCGTTCTTTGGCAGCAGAAGAGGGGGGCTGTGCTGCCCTGAGGCGCGGGGCGTGCAGGATGGGGAGCGCTGGCTGCCCAGTAGTCGCTTTGGTTGAAGCTGCTCTTTTTGCAGTTAGTCATGATGATCCCAAATATTGAATATTATTATTTTGAGACAAACTATGCATAAAAATGCATCCACGTGTTCTGTTAAAGACAGACCTACCTATAGCACAGCGGTCTCCAACCGCTTTGTGTAAGTTCTCCACATGGTGGTGTGAAAAGCTCATTTTTACCCCTGCTAATGTGCATCTGCAAGGATTGTTCTACTGGGGACTGCTAGGACCCTAATGTCCTCACGATAAACACTAACATCACTTTTCTGCAGCACGGCAGCAAGCGGTTCATGTAACAACAGTTTGGGCCAGCAAAGATTTTTGGCTTGCCAAGAAGTAGGACATTTTCATTACGTAAAATTAGAGCAAGAAATCCAGACATTTAAATACAGGCTAAAGTTCAGATTTTCATGTCAAGTAAAATCTGGCTGATGTGAAATACTAAATACACCAGGGATTGCTAAATTTGTACCATATGTTCCATTTCTAATAATTCAGTAAGTCAGGTTTTCAAGCTAACATTGAAATATATTGAGCAGTTTTAATGATTTTAAATACCATGTGGCTTTATCAAATGCAAACAGCGTCCCTGGGTTGTGACTAACGTTTCAGCAAAGTAGGTTACAGGCCCATGGCAGAATTAACACCTTGAATTAAAAAAAGCCTAAGCTGCACGGCAGTTTTATGAGCTCCGCATCCCATTGCCTTCCCCACCAAATAGTGGCAGTTTTTTGGGGGGGGTAAAAAGCCACTACCTTTTGTAGTCGAGAGGTTTATTCAGATACTGACATGCCAGGAGTCACTGCCCAGTAGCAATGCTGGCCCCAGTGGATTTGTCCGATTGATTTTTACAAGCTGAAGCATGATTTGAGAAACTGCTGGAGAATGCGTCCCGCCCCTGCCTGGTACGTGGTGAAGATGATCAGAAAGAATCCATCCCTGCGTCTGAGTCTGGTTCTGCGTCTGGGAGAAGCACCTTCTTGAGAATTCCCGAGTAATAAGGTCCAAACCCCTGCCTGTTGTGGTGGATCATGCTTCCAAACCTGCGCCCAACTTCCAGCAGCTCTTCCTGAATGGGATCAAGGCCCTTTGGGAAACCTTTTTGAGAATTGTGTCCATCCAGGGAAATGAAAAGGCTGAGGAAGGAATGAATCTGCTGCTCTGTAGGGAGCAAAAGCATGAAAATAAAAGAAATAAATCGACAGTCAACCTTTGCACAGAAAGCTAGTTCTGAGACAAAGGCTTCCTCACGCAGTCAGGAGCAGATCTGAGGACAGCTACGTTGTGGCAGGGCGTTGTGGATGAGTAACGCTCTAGATCAACTCAGGGACACAGGGGACTAACATATTCCTCTTCCAAATATTAAGCAGATGAACCAGCATCCAGCACAGGAACTGAGGGGAATGTGACACAAGGAGAGTACTCGAGTATCAGCTATACTTGCCTTGTTTTCCCTTTGTCCTGGGTAGCTGCCTCTAATGACGGCTACGGCTGGGATACTGGGCTGAAGGACTTAAGAATGCTCAAATCCTTCAAACCTAATGTTAAAGCGGAGCAGGTCAACAGTAAAGATTTTTCACCCACTCCTCCGAGAGTTTTTATACTGCATTGAAGTGTCAAGCATCTTAGAAGTGTAATGGAATACAGACCTTCAGAGCCCAGGATTTATCTTGCCTGCCACAGCAGCATCTTGAAATTGAAAGCGTTCAGGAAGCCTCTCTGAGGAACACAGAGCTGAGATTCAACTACCTGGCTGCTTCAGGTGTTCTTGCACTTGAAGTGAGCATGTGGAAAATGGTGGAGGTGGCCAAGAGTGCAGGCAAGACACGGGTTTGATTCTTAGACACGGAGGGGGGAAGGCTGTCTAGTTCTGCAGCTTCTAATGCCACACCATCGGTGAGTCATTGCCCTCACACACTGCCCAGCCTGTAGTTTATCGAGGTTTGGTTTAGGCTATTAATTCAGCCTTCCAAATTACATCAAAACAAAATAGCCTGCTCTGACATGGAAAGAATAAACCCAAATAAACAGCGTGGTGGAGTCCACACAGGCTGGGAAGGTATCTAACTAGATGAAGCAGCAGGCAGGAAGAGCCTCACCTTATTTTCATAGCTGATAAAAGCTAGTCATCCATGTGGAAATAATCTTTCCTGCAGCATACTAGCTGCCTGTGGCACTGCAATCTGATGCGGAGTTGACGTTCAGAGTACTAGTAAAAGGTCAAAATAACCAGCTCTTATCCAAACCATTTGAATAAATATTTTGATGGAGCAGCATTATAGGGCAGCTGGTTAGCTGAATACCAAGCAGTGCACTCTCTAGGGATAAATATTATTTAAAGATCTTAGCATGGTGCTTTACTACAGCCAGTGATTAAGCTCTTGCTCTACATCCTAGCCTGAAGATTGCAACACTACCTAGGAACAGACCTTGCACTTGGGCCTGTTTAGCTTTTAGCAAGAATGGGAGGATTTAAGAGATTTTTCAAGGCAATTACTGTTTGGGAGTGTTTCAGGGTGGAATAGGAAAATCAAGGCAGTTTCTAAACCTGGCTTCCCTGGCCCACCTCTCCTGTGCAGACTGTGGGGCCAGAGAGTGAACGCTGATCCCAGGCCTGTCCTGCACGCTCCAGGGTCATTAGCCTAAACCCAAGTTGTAGCCTACAAGTGCAAAGTGGCTTCAAGGTCAAGTTAGACAAAAGCTCAGAGACTCACCGATGACATGTCAGACTGCGTTGCCCTTGTCCGCAATGCTTTTTATCTGGCCTTTCAGGGAAGCACATTTGTCAGTGGTAAAAGCAGCGTAACCCAGCTGCGAGAGAATGCTGCTGACTTCTGGAGCACTTGGTCGCTGATGCCATCTAAAGCTTCTTCACACCTAAATCATGCAAAGGTACATGCACTCCGGCCACAACTCACATTGGCTGGGGAAGGGGCTGTGCAGGCACAGAGCAAGGCGGGAAGCCTCTCCACGTGCCTGTGGAGCGTCACCACAGCCAGCTAGCACAGGACGACCACCATTCAGCCAGAGCTCTGTGAACTAAGCTTCCCTGCCCGGCTCTTTGGCAAGCACTAGGCTGCCCTGCGGCCGACTCATGAACTAGTGATCAGCACTGCTAATTTTTCCCTCTAATCAGGAAGGGACTATTGCTCCAGAGAGTTAACTCCCAGCTAAAAAGCTGGCTGGCTGGCTTCCCCCACTCCTTGCAGTAGACCTGGCTGCTATTTGGATCTCAGATCCTCTTCCACTCCCGGGGGAG